CTACAGGCCAAGAGGGCCTCAGGTCTAGCCATTTTAATGAAGAACATATTTCAAGGTCCATTCTCTTCTCCCATAGGGAGACCCAAGTTTCCATCTGAATGGATACAATGGCAGTCTTAGCCTCGATGTCTTTGGAATTAAGGAATTAGTTTCATACATTATTTATCACCCTGACATGTGATTTTGCTGCCTGCACAAACAAATTCATTACTGTTTTAGTGAACTGGGGGACAGGAAGCAGCCTCCGACTCTGGGGTAGATGTTTGAAAAGCAGGGAACTGGGGAGTTGAGGCTCACTTCTGACACCTGCAGACACATCCTGCTACCCACACACAACCCTTCTGGGGTTAGGAGAGTGTGAGCTCTAGAGGGAAAAATGAATCCATTAGATTGAACTGAAAGAAGAAATGACTTCTCCAGGGAGGAGAGAGAGAAAGCAAAAGCAGTGGTAAGGCTTCTGTCTAGGTGAATAGGCAGAACTGGGACTTGCTGAAATTCTTCCAGTTTTATTCCTCCATAAAAAGAGATGGAAGAAAAATGCTGCTGCATATCCTCCCAAACTGCTCAGCTCTCAATCTTTTGGCAGTGGCAGTTTCAACAGCAGTTTGGCCCACGACTTTCTTCTCTACATCCTCTTTCCATAGATGCCAGGAACATTTCAACTGCTTTAATTCTAGGAGGCCTTCTAACCTCAGGAACCCAATCAAAAATAAACAAGCCATGACACTTTACAGGAGGCCCAGAAAACATTTCTTCTTAAGTATTTCTAATCATTGATAAAAAATGTATCCCTCTATAAGGACTTGGTCATAATTATTTCTATTATAGTTATAATGGTATGATTTTCTTGGGACCAGATTCAATTTAAAATGCAAATCAAAAGAACACCACTTTTTTTTTTTTAAATCTATTTGTTATTCTTAAGGTAGAAAATTGGGAGTGGGAGACAGATCGAAGGTCTGAAATTTCAAAGTTGGATTACGTTGATACCCAGCACTCTTCTTATCTCAGTGTTGTTCTCACATTAATAAATATATATATATCTGTTAACTTTTGGCAGTCATATTTGCTGAGAAAACTGTAAACAACAACTCTGAGCCTGAGGTTAGGCTCCCCAAAGAACAGGAAGTGAGCCTGATACAATCAGGCCAACATAAAAGCAAGTGGGAAAATTTAAAACAGCTAATGCCATTATCAGTCTCAGCAATAACAGGTCTTCCAGGGAATACTGGTGATTGCTAGTTAACAGTTAGCCAGAAAAACCAGGTTGGCTTTTTTGTTTTTTCCTCTAAGAGAGGCCAGTGGAGTGAAACACATAAAGACAAGCCAGAGAATTAAGGCTCTGATTATACTAGTTCTTATTAATGTGGGCCATCTATCACCCATGAATAAGTCTTATTCTTCAGGGGTTTCAGTGCACTGCTCCCCATGACAAAGAGACAAGAATTATGAGAGCAGCATTATTAGAGGAGGACTCCGAATTCTCAGAGTCACAGACCCAGATATTGTTTCAAAATGTAATAACCAGGCAACACAATTTTTAAGTTCCCTTAAAAAAAAAAAAAAAAGTTATTTCCTAACCACTAAACCCATCGTACAATCATAATAACCACCTTAGATCTGGGCATGGTGGTTCATGCTTGTAATCCCTACGTGTTGGGAGGCTGAGGCAGGAGGATTGCAAACTTGAGGCCAGCCTCCACCACTTAGCAAGACCCTGTCTCATAATAATAACTGCTAATGTATTAGAGAATCACCTTTTAGATATTTCTACTAACATGTTACATGTCAAATTGTGAGTTTTGCTCGGTAAAATATTTCTTATCAATTTTAATTACAAATAATGACTAAACTACAACTTTTCTTCAATGCATTCCAGGGCAGCATTCCGCTCAGAGGCAAGTTTTTGCAAGACCTGCCAAAAATGCTAGAATTTTTAGACCAAATTCTCACCAATCAAGTAGTCAATCCCATGATCTGGGCTCAGAAATGAGCAGATTTTCCAGACAAAAGAGTTTTCACAAAATGGAGACATAATGGACAGTCACAAAATCAAAGGAGCGAAGCTGCATGCTCTCCTTGGTGTATGTATGTAGCTCTCCTTGGTGTATGTAGTTTGTTTCAGTAAGGATTAGCATGCCTGAGGGTGGTGAAGCTACCACCCAAACAACTGGATCTTCTAAAGAGCAGGGATTTCCTCTCATCTACTCTTGATTCCGTCTTTAAAGGTATACCAGTTGGGCAACAGCAGATAGGAAGGGAGACATTCTACAGCAATATTCTCATTTTTGTTCTCAGGATGAAAGAGTCCCTTTGAAATGCACATAAAAGCAACAACCAATTACTGTCAGAGAAAACAGCCAGAGCTTGCGGACAACCTCAAACTGTTCTATAAATAGCCCCTCAGTGGCCTCTAGTGAAAAATGCTAAACACTTTCATGGTGCACAGGTCAATTCACCCACTTGTCTATTGGTGACACTTGCAGTATGGTTTCTCTAAGCAGGCATTTCGTTGTAAAGTCCTATCCAGAAGCAACCATTCTAGAAAATCATATTTAAGTAATTACACAGTTGGAAAAGTCTATTGGTATCAATTACTCTAAAAATCTTCCAGATGGAGAGAAGTACTTCCATGCTGGGTGGCAGAAATTCCGAATATTCAACAAAGGACTGGTTGAAACCATTAAGTAAATATGTACTGGGAGCCTGGGAATGGCTGCCAAAAGCCAGGAAGCCCTTCCCCACCGGCCAACAACAGAAGGCAATGGTTCTTCGTTTATTACAAAATGTTGTGATACCTGGCATCTAAAGTGATAGATTATGTATCAGGGCCACAGAATGGACATCATTTAAAACCCTGCAATGGGCCTCAACTTGAAGCCTCTGGGTATCCATCTCCTTCCAAAAGCCTAATATCCCAGAAAAAGAAATATGGCATTACTGTTTAGAGGATAGAGTGTTTCAGTCTGAAAATGTCCTGGAGATAGATCCATCTGGTGACAGTTGCCCAACCATATGAATGTTTTGACTGAGGGCGAACGTAAGACCTGGCCACGCAAGGCCTAGAACTAGACCTTATACTATTTTTGACAAAAACAGTTTATTGTGTTTTCAGCTTATAGACTATTCCATCTCTTTGGAAAGGAAATATTGGGGGAAGTGCATCTAGGGTTTAATCTATCAATTTTTTAATATATCAATTTTTTTCTCCTACAGCTACTCATAGTTATAAACTTTTAAAATGCAAGAATTATGGAAAAATAATCACTACAATTCTTCAGGCTATAGCATCACTTGTAGGATGTTCAGAGCTTAAATTTAAGTCCAAACCTTCTTATGGCAGTTGATTATTAAAACGAACTTCCTCTTCTGTGTTACATGGCTCTTAGGTTTTCATTCTTTTTTACTCTTATTTAAAGGGACACCAATGTCCTTGGAAAGCAGGGGGGTTATAAATGAATGAGAGGTCAGTTATAAACTGACAGCCACTCACAGTGGAGAGGAATCTTTAGAGAGCAAAGGAACATCATCTAAGTTTTTGTTGTTTTTCTATGGCACTTTGATCAAACACCCCCCAAATACTAAATATAATGTTAAGTTTGGGGACAAAAACTTTTCTTACAGTATCAAAAAATAGGGCACCTAAACTCGGGAAAAACAAACCATAATTGCATCCCTATCCTTCTAGAAGCACCATGCAGAATAAGCCACCTAAGATACCAAGGTGAGATACATCGAAAGTCAAATTAACCTTCTCCCTCCTTTTTTTTTTTCTCTCTCTCTCTCTCTAAATCACAGTGCAAATGAATAAATAAAAAGTTTCAGTGCAAAACTTCTGCCATGAAGCTCTGCTAAATGATAATGGCTAGGTACCTCTATCCTACAATTTCAAGAGCTACCATCTAAATCAAATTTTGTACAAGACTGCAACAGTATCTTTATTCAGTAATCAGGAATAAAAATGAAAAAAAGAAAAACAAAAGTTGCTTGTACAGTCTTCATACTAAAGTTTCTATATAACAAACCTTCTAATATCCTGTAAGGATCTTCTTTGTGAGGAGATAAGAAATTAGAATATTTTTTTAAAGCCTCAAATATCTTCTTATTACAACCTTACTAAAATACATACTTCAGCCTAACTGATGAACTTGTTAGTAATCTGGTAAATAGAGAATACAGGGGTGTTTCTTTCAAAGATACGTAAAATTAGTAATAATGTCCCTGCTGTTATATCTGCTCACTTATTTTGGACATACAGTGCAAAGTAATGAAATCCTAATATCGTATGTATTCTTAACTTCATACTGAGTAATCCATAAACTATTTCTTCTAAAAAATTTTTACTTGTACTTTGTTAGTAAGCTTTGAAAGTGATTCTTTTTAATATGGAGAGAGAAATACATCCTCAACTAGACGAATCAAACTCTCCTTTGCTTTATATGGTGTCTTCTTTATATTATTAATGATTGCTGGTAAGTTTTAATACTTGTCTGGTATCTGTTTAGTAATACATTACTCACCCATCTGAATGCTTGACTGTAGTTTTAACTATCATGGATACCTTTTTTTCCTTTAAAGACATTTCAATTTATGTCCTCATATTTTAGTTCAAGAGACCCACTTACAAATATCAAAATTATATACTCATTATAGATTCCCTGTAAAAGGAGAAAGAAATCTCATATTTGGTGTTAATCTTATATTTTCAAAATGCTACATATAACATCGCCTGGGTTGAGGCCTCATACTTATCAACCATGTTTTGAAATATCCAGGGTATAAAATATCTTACTTTCAATTACAGATGGGCTACAGAACCACAGTTTCAAGTATCACACTGCTGCCATCCTTAAACTGGTATTTTTAATCTCCAAAGAACTTCAGCTGTAACCTCATCAGCAAATGTTTCAAGCAAAGTGCTCTATCAAAGTCATTTTTTTTTTTTGGTCCTACAGAGGAAAATAGGCAGGGAAGATGAGAGGATAGAAAAGATAATTTACCTGCATCAATTTTCTGGAGAGCTCATTAGTGAGGAACTCTTCTTCCTTCTCGTAATTTACAGCAAGGGTTTCTTTCTCCTTCTGCAAAGCCTGAATTTTCTTGAATAAAGTATTACTGATGAATTCTTCTTCCTGCTCAGCCCTGGCTTGCTGTTTTACAAAAAAAAAAGTAAAAGAGAACAAAACAAAAACACATGTTAAGGAAACAGGAAATTTACTAATTGTAATATAGTTCTTATTTCCAGAGAGGGTGCCTATTTTAATTAGAGTTCTATTTTTAACTATGACCAACACACCCCAGCAAGCACAAAACAGCAAATATTACTATTACCCCAAAGGGACTCTCTGTACTATGCATGGCCCTTCTTCTTAAAGTGATATATCAAATTAGCAAAAACTGTACTGCAGTTTTGGGATACTTTTATGTTCATTTTTTGGTATTGGGGATTGAATGGGGGTACGGGGGTAGTGAGCTGCTAAGACAGGGTCTCACTAAATTGCTGAAGCTGGCCTCAAACTTGTGACCATCCTCCCTCAGTCTCCCCAGTGACTGGGATTATAGGCACACATGTACTACAGTTTTTATGAAGCATTCACAAATCAATAACCGGAACACAGAAAGTTCCTTCTCATGGAGCAGAAAGGTCCAGTATGTGAATGCATTCCTACTAACTCTCCAAGTCACTACTTCTCATAGGCTTGTAATTAAAAAAAAAAAAAAAAAAAAAAAAGTTGTCTACATATTTTAAAACTGGAGCAGAGAAGTCCAAATCACTTAAAAGAATATCACCTCTCTTTAAGACAATACTGAAAGCATGTGGGCATACCATTAAAAAAAAACCATAGAGGGCTGAGGTTGTGGCTCAGCGGCAGAGTGCTTGCCTTGCACATGTGAGGCACTGAGTTCCATCCTCAGTAAAAATAACAAACAAAATAAGGGTATTGTGTCCATCTATAACTAAAAAATTTTCTAAAACATATTTTTTATAAAGCAATAGATACACATGGACACACTAACGTGTTCATGGATATAATTACTAGAAGACAATAAACCAAAGCTGTTAACAAAGTAGTGAGAATCTGTAAGAGGTAAGGGCAGATGAAAGGATTTTTTTTTAACTATTTCCCTACTGGGAATTATTGGGGTGATGGAAAATACAGGTATTACTGAATTAAAACACCTGAAAAACAGAAAAGGGAGTCAGGCTTAATTCAATGACAATATTCTTCTGTCAATCCTCACAAATGCTTTAATAGACTAAACAGACTAATAAAAGTTAATTATTCTTTTATGTATGGGAAGAGATACTGGGGAATGGACTCGAGGGTACTACCTTTTTCTTCTTTTTTCTTCCCTTTTTTGAGACAATCTTGCTAAATTGCTAAGAATGACCTCAAACTATGATTCTCCTGTCTCGGCCTCCTGAATTGCTAGGATTAAAAATGTATGCCACTACTGTACCTGGGAAACCTAACCATCCTTGAAGGAGAGTCATCTTTTCAGAAAGAAATGGACTCAACTGTATTAAAAGCACTTTTTAAACTGCAACATTTTGATGCATCTGTACCAAATAATGCATTTCTATTTTATCTGCCAGTCAAGGGAGGGAGAGCTACATGAATTCCAAACCTCTAGCACCTCCACTTATTATAAAAGGGCCAGAAGACAAGAAACAAAAGGGACTCATATCAATTACCACCTTTTAGCATTCAAAAGTCCAGCAACCACTCCCAGGTCTTATGGCTTCAATTTGGTACCCATTTGCCAGCTTCCAACACTTGCCCCCTAATACCACAGTTTAATGTAGCATCACTCCCTGGGCTCCACATCCCAGCTGCCCTCAAGGAAGTACACCATAGTTCCCAGAACTGCTTGCCAAACAATTCTATAAGAGAACCATGCACAGTACTTAGGCTGAAAAACAGTTAAACTAAAGCTGGAAACTTTAGGAGAAAGTCCAGAACTCGAGTTCCTAAGGAAGCCATTCTGGAATAGTCCAGGAGAATTGAACAATGAAGAACACATCCACCAGCTAATAAATTCCTGTGACAAGCCAAGGGCACACACTGAATACCGTGGCTCCCTTAATCGCCTCCTGTTTCACTAGACCTTCTCAATGCCTGGTCCTTGCACTATAGTCAAAGAGAACTGCTGGGCACTGGGGCTTCCCTGGCCCTTTAAATCAATCCCTACTCCTCTTCCAAAGTCGCAAACTTCAAGATGTCCTCCTGCAATGGGCAGAGGGCCAAGGTATTTACTTAAGGCATATCTGACATATATATCCAAGCCCACAATCTCTCCAAGCTACCTGGTTTTTCCAGTTTTGATGGACAAAGCCCTATATGATTTGAATGATGATTATTCTGAAAGTTATAGAAGAAAAAGAACAATAGGAACCATAATGCTCTCCAGAGTCTTAGAATTCAAAAGGGGGGCTGCCATCAATTAGTTTCATTATCATGCCAGACTCAACGACTTGCAAATTATTGCACACTTAAGAGTTCAGATATTTGGTAAACTTAATCATTATCAACAAAGAGGGCCCTAATGAGGCTGAGCAGATCATCCTCCCATTTACATGGGGGCTTGGAAGTAACCAGCAGAAAATAAGCTAACAGTTTATTCCCGTGAAACTGAAAATAAACCCAAGAGCTCTCTCTTCCATGTGATATAACCATTAGGTTATAGGGAAAATAGATTTCAGTGTATTATAAAAATGAACTCTCAGAGAGAAAACAGGTTGCCAAAGGAATGGAGAATGACAATTCAGTGAATGGTTCCCTAAAAAGGGTTTCTTTTAGAGGTGAAGACATTTTCTGGAACTGGATGCTAATAGTTTACATAAGCTTTTAAACAGACAAGAATTCAAAACTCAGCTGGGTGTGGTGGCACACACCTACAGTCCCATTGGGTGGCTAAGACAGGAGGATCACAAATTCCAGGCCAGCCTTAGCAACTTAGGGAGACTCTGTCTCAAAATAAAAAATAAAGAAGGATGGGGATATGGCTCAGTGGATAAGCACCCCTGGGTGCAATCCCCAGTACCTAAATAAACTAGAACTCACTTAACTGTACCTTTTTAAAGGGTAAATTTTACGGTATGTGGATTGAGTCTTGATTTTAGAAAAAAAGGGGCTCTGATAATTAGTAGGATCTGAATTTCTCAGAGCCCAGTTTCCTGGCAGTTCTTCATGAAGAGAATGGCAAAATTTTAAGATGCGGGCAGAGAGATGAAGAATAGGCTTGTTCTACAGTTCCTTCCAAAGTGAGTGACAAATCGGGGGTCTTGGGAAGCTGAGGCTTTGACAAACAAAATTATTCACCATTTTAGAATAGCCTCTTCTTTCTAGGCAAAGCCCATTAATAGAAAATGCCACTCTCAGGAACTCTGAATGACCACCGAGGGATTGGCCTGTTAAAGACTATTTAACTTAACAAAGGGTTAATATGGCTAACAGTTTATCCAAAGCTCCCATGAGCCAAGTTTTCTGCCACCAGTTCTAAACTCTAGTGGGGGAGACGGATGTTCAAATGGGACAGATTGGCTTAAGAATGAACACATAAATGAAGAAAAAAAGACAAAGATATCCAGTGTATCCAGTGAACCTCAAAGAAAAACTTTAGAAAAATCAGACATAGCGTATTAACACTGTGGATAAACTTGATATTGGAGAAGGAACCATGCATGATAGAAAAGTATCCAGTGTCCATTCACTTTCGCCGGCAAGTTTCTCCCTGTGCTGTGTGTAGTATGATCTCACTCTTGATCTTAGTCTTGGTTTTTATTTTCCAATCCCAAAAAAGGCCATTTTTATTTAAGCCATAAAATAAATTATCTTTCCAGTGTATTCCCACAAAACAACCCCAGACGCAACCAAGAAGACTGTGGCCCAAAGAAAAAAAAACAACAAACCCCTGGGCACCTATGTGCAAGATAGGAAGAGAGTTAGCCAGGCAACAAGTGGGCCAAGAGGAGCTGAAACAGGTCCCTTAAGAAATCTCAACCACGGGTTTTATCAGCGTATTTTCCCCCTTTTATCTGAAATGCCTGAAACCTCAGCGTATTTTCCCCCTTTTATCTGAAATGCCTGAAACCTCAGCAGGCCTGAAGACTGTAATACAAATTCTAACTTAAAGCTACACTTCAATCAAGGTTTACCTAATCCCCCTCTAAGTTCTCAAATGAAAATGTAAATAAAAACATTAGAAACTCTTCCAAAGAGGAAAGCTTTTCTTATTACCATCTGGTATATTTGTATAGTTGAAGACTGGGAAATTCAAGCAGAAATTTAAAAAAAAAAAAAAACTGATTACATTTTCATGCTCGATATGGTTCTAGTTGCTACGTTTAGAAATGGAGTGAATCTTGTATAATCTCACTTACTTATTAGTGTTTGCTAATAAACATGTTACCCTCCACCCAGCTGTAATAGTGTCTACTAATATGAAGACTAAAGTACCTTTCCATAATTTTTTTCTCATTTACCAAAAGCCCAACACAATCAGTTTAAAGGGGGTGGGGGAGGGAGAAGGAGGACAGGAAAAATTTGCCAAGTCCTCAGGAGAAAATAAACACTGATAAACAATTCTTGTAAAATATTTTCTCTTAAGTCACCACATATTTAGGTAACCATACTATTCATAAGCATAATTTTTTGCATACAAGGAAAACAATTTGCTCCGATCCACTGTTATCAAGACCTGGGAACAACTTTGATGGGAGATTCCAATGTTATTGCTTAAGGTCTCTGTTATCCATTGCATCTGGAGGGTTGGTATAAAAAGAATTCCAAATCTCTCCACAATGGCACTCACTGCTGAGAAAATCCACATGCCAAAACCAAAATCACGTAAGATGATGTAACTCATGATCTGTCAAGCATAAGCTAAAGAAGGGTTTTCCAAAGCAAGAAATTACAGGCAAACATCTATTTGATAGTGAGTGTGGGGAAAGGATATAATTAGGAGAAAGTTCACCTTACTACAAAGAGAAGACACTTGCATCAGCTTTAAAAAATTACTTTTAAGTTGGTTCATAACTTCTTTTAACAAAGAATCATAAAACTAAGATATCTTGAATGTTTAATGCTTAAGGATCTAAGCAAGATTCATCTATTGTAATTACTTAAATCTAAATAACATATTTGAA